GGGGGAAACCTCCAAAAAAATTACAAATTTAAAAATCGCTAATTTTCGAAATTTTTTCAATTTTTTTTACTTAAAAGTGCCATAACTTTTTCAAAAATAAACATATCAATATAATTCAATATTTTTATATAGATGCATAATATCATTACCTTTCATTTGGTATATTTTTTTCTTAAATTTAACCCTTAACCTGCCCACAAGGGGGGATTTAAAATGACAACTTTTTCACAAAAAATTAATTTTTTTAACTTAAATTTTGAAAATGTTCCGGAAGGTCTGACACTTTTATATATATCTTAAATTAAAGCTAATGTAATATACTTTACTGTGAAAAAAAAAAATTTCGGACTTTATTTTATCTTCAGGATAATAATGGCTACCGAATGCTATTTTTGTGTGAAAATTTTCGATTTTGTATTTTACATTTTTAACTTAATTATGCTATAACTTTTTGAAAAATGTATGAATCATTACAATTTTTTTATGAGAAGTAGTATTTATATAGATCTTTCATTCGACATACTGNGAATCATTACAATTTTTTCATGAGGAGTAGTATTTATATACATCTTTCATTTGACATACTGTTTTTTTAAATTCGACCATTTCCCTATATACGAGGGGGGTTCAAATCTAAAAAATGCATGTAGAAAGTAGAACTTTTTCAACTTAAATTTTGAAAGTGTTCCGGAAGGTCTGACACTTTTATATATATCTTAAATTAAAGCTAATGTAATATACTTTATTATGCGAAAAAAAAATTTCGGACATTATTTTGTCTTCAGTGTGAAATTGGCTACCGAATGCTATTATTGTGTGAAAATTCTTGATTTTATTTTTTACATTTTTAACTTTATAATGCTATGACATTGAAAAGTGTATGGATCAACATTATTTTTTTATGAGAAATAATATTTTTTAATAATCCCTTTTTCATTCTACATACTTTATCTTAATTAGGATATTAATAATGAACTAGCAGATAATGTAGCTTTTGGAATAGTCCACCAATTTTTTAAAATTAAACAGTATCTAAAGATTTGCATCGAAGCGTTTTTTTTTATAGTGATTTTAATCACTGTCAGATATCATTATACTTGATCCATCTATACCACGTCACCACTGTGCCGCGACCCCCCTGTGCTGGGTTTTTTTTTTATGTGTAAATATTATTTTTTAGTAATATTAAAACTTGAAAGAGATAGAAATAGTTTAATTGCACATTTGAAAACATCGCGAAATGTTAATTTAGAATTTTATGCATATTTTTATTGTAGAATTTTTTTAAATATTAAAAATTACTTAGAAATGATTTCTATGATTTCTATTTAAGTGCTCTATTAGGATAAAAATGCAAAAAAATAATGATTTTTTTTGATAAATATACTGTATATAGTAATTATAAAATTTCCTAACTGCATATTAATCTTAAAAATAACATTGTTTTAATTCTCATAAAATTTTCTATTTAATGATTCATTTTAGTCAACGAAGGAGTAATTTTGGCGAATAACAGAAAAAATTCCCAACCAATTTTTTTTTTTTTTTTAAGTAGGAAATAGGTGGATTATTAAAAGAAACATCAACTCTTATTTCTTTAATTATATCCAGATTAGTAGTTCTTTGATTTTAAAATATAATATATGAATAAATACTAATTATAGTTTTTAAATTTAGTATGAAATTGTGAGGCCAGCTATGATGTATGGTTAATAGTGTTGGGCGGTTGATAAGAAAGTAGAGCAGAGAATAAGTGTAGCAGNTTGATATTCAATAATTTAAAATTGTAATTTAAACGGACAAATTATAAAAATAATAAAGAAGTTATATTTTGCTTTACTTTTACGTGTTTCAAAATTTAAAGGGCTTGATACAATAATTTTCAATAGAAACTGTTTGTTACAATAAAAAAATTCAATAGACTACAAGGAACTTTGATCAGAAGCAAAAATACCCTTTTCTAAATCAACTTTTCGCGTTGTTTTCAAATCTGCAAGTAGACTTTTCTATCACTTCTAATTTTTATATTATTACTAATTATATATAAAATAATAATTAAAAGAAAAAAAAATTGTTTTCAAATTATTATTGATTTAATTTTTAATATGTTAAAAATAATCAGTCCAAATTTTCAATTTTCACCTATTTTTTTGGTTCTTTAAGGTTGATGAAAAATTTTTGATAAAGATTAATGAAAGTTTATATTAAAAAAAATTGAATTTATTACCATAACTTTTAGCTCAATTACAAGTTTAAAATTGACATCTAGGCCAGTCAACAAAGNTGTGTCATTAAAGCGTAGTGTATATTAATATACAACCGATAGAGTAGGTAATTTGATTTGACACTATATTGTTTAAACCCAACTTAACGCTAAATTGTACATTCCCAAACAACAATCGTATTATGTCAACTGCCACCGGTATTTCTGGTAATCTTTTTCTTTTTCTTTGCCTTAATCCCAACTACTTGGGATCGGCCACCTTTATCTTAAGCTTGTACTTGACACGATCTCCCACATCTTCTATGCTCACATCAGCTGTCCTCAAATCGCATTCAATAGCATCCCTCCATCTCTTTTTTGGTCTTCCTCTTCTTCCTTCAACATTCATTTCTATAACTGTTCTTACATCTTCCGATTCTTCTCTCCTCATAACATGACTAAACAAGTCTATTTTCTGTCATCTTATCCACGATTGACGCAACACCTATACTTCCTCTTATATGCTCGTTCCTTACCCTACCTTTTCTAGTCACTCCACTCATCCAACTAAGCATTCTCATCTCTGCTACACTTATTCTCTGCTCTACTTTCTTATCAACCGCCCAACACTATGAACCATACANACTTTCTTATCAACCGCCCAGCACTATGAACCATACAACATAACTGACCTCACAATTTCATACTAAATTTAAAAACTACAATTAGTATTTATTCATATATTATATTTTAAAATCAAAAAACTACTAATCAGGATATAATTAAAGAAATAAGAGTTGATATTGCTTTTGGAATAATCCACCAATTTCTCTAAATGAAACACTATCTACAGATTTGCATCGAAGCGTTTCTTATGATAGTGATTTTAATCACTGTCAGATATCATCTATACTTGTCTCATCTATGCCTCGTTCACACTGTGGCGCGATCCCACTGTGCTACCGTTTTTTTAAATAATCATTTTGATTTTTAGCAAAAAAAAATTCTATAGTATATTTAAAAAAGTAAAATTGTATTAAATACCTTCCTAAAATAATTGCTGAATACGCCTAAGTGGAATACCTCATTAACAAACGTCGACCTTATACACAATACAATTTACTATATTCTCCTTTCAAAATTTCCTGGTTTTAATAATTTAATTTTTAATATATATTTCTTCCGCTGATTCAGATGTAATATTTTTCCTGCAAAACCCTTATAGTGCCCGTCGTAAACGTGTACTACTACTGGAATCAATGGCATAAAGGCTTTTTAATAAAAAAATAAACATAGTGACGATTAGATAATTGCAAGTGTTATAATGATATAATATACTAGGCGATCTAGGGTTTGAACAATTTTGGTGTTGGATACACATGGATCGAATGTGCTGTCAAGAATTTGAGTTGTGATTATTTAAGCAATAGTTGTGCTAAACTGAGTTGTTGTAGATCTTCTGTCTATGTCTACATTTTTGCCACTATCTTAGCGTGTTTTAGTGATAAGGTCTATACAAATTGCGAGATCATAGTTTTTTATAAAAAGTAAAATATCATCTTTGCTATTGTCGCACCCTATTGCGCTCTCAGTAAATTGCCTTTTGGACTTCTTGTTTTCTGATATAAATCACAGTATCGTTTACAGTATATTGTACAAGTTGATCAGTTAATTGCATTTGATTTCATTTGATCCATTTAATATTCAGCAATATCATCAGTCGTTACAATTAGCTGATAAAAATAATTCTTGTTCATCTTCATTTTAAGATTTATTGTAATAATACATTTACCACTCATTATACAGTTGTCTATAATTCAATATCTATTAGACATC